CCTTTTCCTTTTTTTCTTTTTCTCCGATTAATATGGGAATTTTTAGCCTCCACAGCGAACGTGGTGCCTCCTTTCAAAACTGTTTTAATAATATAACTAGCTGGATGGCCCGCGCAATTGCGCGGCTAGCACCTAAACAAAATCATATATTTTTTATATGATTTTACTTAAAATTTATTAGATAGCTATCTTATTGTCTTAAGACTTTGAAAGACCAACCCTTATTATCCTCGTGTTTCTAATTATATAGTTTTTAAAAGTCACACCAGTTGCTACCCCTTATGTCATCTCGTTCTTTATTTGCTTGCTCAATATACCACTATTTCTTTTTATTCTTCTTGGAACCTTTAAAAATTGGATTTTATAGTTTCTAGGGTTTATTGTCATGTTGGGTTTCATTTTTATAATTTCTAGATGTCCCGTCAAACGTTGCCATTATACTCCTCTACGGCCCGTCTAATGCCTCTTCTCTTTATTGTCATTGAGATTTTAAAAATCGAACATAATTATTGTCTGGGTTCAATTTTACTTTCTAGAAGTTCCGCCAAACCGTCTATGGCTTTGCCATTGTACTCCTCTATAGCTCGCCTGCTGCCTGCTGCCTTCCTTCTTTATTTTCATTGAGATTTTAAAATCGAACATGATTATTAGTGGTTTTTTTTTTTACTTTTTAGAAGTTTCGAACCTTTAAAAATTGGACTTGTAGTTCCATTTTTTATAATTTTTAGAAGTCCCATCAAACGATGCCACTATGCCCCTCTATAGCCCGTTTGCCGTCTACTGTTTATTGTCATTGTGATTCTAAAAATCGAACATCAATATCGTTGGAATTCATTTTTTATTTTCTAGAAGTCCTGTCAGCCGTCGGCGGCTCTGCAACTATACTCTTATGTACCCCGCCCGCTGCTTCTCCTTTTTATTGTCTTTGAGATTTAAAAATCGAATATGATTATCAATGGGGTTTGTTTTTTTTTACTTTCTAGAAGTCCCGGTAACCGCCTTACTCGTTTGCTTCATGGCCTGCCTGACGTCCCTCCTTTTAATTGTCATTAGGATTCTATTTGGTGTTTTATTAATAATTTTTATATGTCGTATCAACCGCCACCACTCTACTCTTTTATATGCATGTTACTTAATTTATCTCGTCATGTGTTTTAGATGGTCTTTTATTTCAATAATATTTATTTTTATCAAAAATTTTAGTTATTTATAAATTGTATTCCTAATTGAAATCTTATTTTTCTTTTTCTAATTTCAGAATTTTTTTTTAAAAAAATTAGTTATTACCGTATTGTGTTCTTTTAATGTTTTTATTTTTTATTTTCAATTTCAGTTGTTTCAAAATTGTATTCCTACTTGAACTCTCTTTTAAATTTTCTAATTTTGGATATTATTTTATTTTTTATCCTAAATTTTAATTAATCTCGTATTGGGTTCTTATATGGATTCTTCTTTAAATATTGCTTATTTTTAATTCCGAATTTCAGCTAATTTTAAATTATATTCCTACTTGAACTCTTCTTTTATTTTCTTTTGCTAATTTCGGATTTATTTATTTTTATTCCAAATTTTTATTAATCTCATATTGAGTTCTTATATGCACTCTTCTTTTAATATTCCTTATTAATCTCATATTTTTTTTATTAATCTCATACTGTGTCTATATGAATTATTCTTCTAATATTTCTTATTTTTTATTCCTAATTTCAGTTGTTTGTAAAATTTATTTTTACTTGAACTCTTATATTTGATTTTTCTAGTTTCTAAATCTATTTTATTTTTTATTACGGATTTCAATTAATCTTTAATTGTGTTCTATATGAACTCTTCTTTCATTTTTTATTGTGTTATTTCAAAATCAAATAAAAATCCGTGCACATGCCATCATGCTTTTCTGGTTGCTGACGTGTGCATCACCCAAATACGGCTCACTGTGCAGCCGCACGGCTTGACCCGCTGCTTCGGATTTCCATCGCTCGCCGTTAGCATCTATCTTCATATTAACAAAAACGCATCCAAATTACGGTTCTACAGTGGTTCGTTGCCCGCTGCTTTATTTATATATGTATATTATAGCCTAATTCATCTCTAACTTTGGTTAATTGGTTTAGGAAATCGGACAAAACTCTTTTGAGTCCGTTTGCATATAAAGGTCCTAGCTAGAGATTGATTCTAATTCTACACGCGTACTGTACTCCGTATCTCTTAATTAACATGCCAAGTTTATCTTAAATCTCAGACATTGAAATCTATGCCTCTTACAATCCAACGGTATAAATAATTCATATTTTCTTCGATTAACGTGGGAATTTCTAGCCTCCACGGTGAACGTGGTGTCTTTTTTTCGAGCTGTATTAATAATATAATAGATAAATCGTATTAATCGAAGAGTGGAGTAAATAATCCAATCCGTTACAACAATCCGATGGCTAAGCTTAAAAGGAGGAGCGTATAACTGGACTGAACGACCGCTGGTGTGGCGTGTGTTGTTCCTCGCTCTCCTGAGAGTCCTAAGTCCTGACCCAGATTGGAACCGGGATTATTCACAGTGAGGGTCATCAGCGGATCAGCCTGTTGTTTTTTTGGCTCAAAATTTTCTCGGATTTTTGGCGTTCCGATACGTCAAGCAAGAGGCCCAGATGTCGTCATGTGCGTGACGACGAAAGGCAGCGAACCTGCGGAGCACCCGGTTCCGCGATGCGTGCGCCGTATATGGGCCCGGTTTATTCGCCATCCTATTGGGCCGGACCAGTACAGCCCGAACTGCCCTATAACATAACAAGCACATATCTATCTCCTCATGGATTGAGGGCCTGCTTGGTACAGCTCCAACTCCTAAATTTAGCTCTAGGAGTTGGGTCTGGAGTGGAGTTGTGGAGCTGCCTAAACCCAGCTCCACAACTCTAGTTCATTTTGTGAGAGAGCTCCACCCAGCTCCACTCCCAGTTTTGGTGGAGCTGAAACTGTTTGGCTGAGCTCCAGCTCCAGGAGGGGTGGAGTTGGAGCTGGAGCTGTGCCAAACATGCCCTGAGGTGTGAAGACTGAAGAGGGAGGGCACCCCTGAATTAATAATCCCTTCTGCTCCGGATCTGATTTCAGTACCAATCAGCAAAACAACAATCTGTTGGTCTGAAGATGGATTCTCAGGCTGTTCGCTCATGAGAATGCTAATTCACGCGCGTGTTGCCGGCGCGTACTCCCGGCCCACGCACGTGTTTCTTTTCTTTTTTTCGCTAACCTACCGCCATTTCTTTTTTTTCTTTTTTTTTCTTTCTTTGCAGTTTGATGCCATATGGGTAGGAGAAAAAAACCGTAATTAGTTTAATAGCCATTAGTTTCCTATTTTTTACAAGTGATTAGTTTACTAGTAAATTTTAAATCTGAATGTAAAATTTTTAATTTTGGACTTGAAAGTTTTCAAATCTCGAGTTGAAAATTTTCAAACCTGGGATTGAAAGTTTTCGAATCTTGAGTTGAAAGTTTTCAAATCTCGAGTTAAAAATTTTCAAACATCAAGTTGAAAGTTTTCAAATTTTCAAATCTGGACTTGAAAGTTTTTGAATCTCGAGTTGAAAGTTTTCGAATCTGAGTTGAAAGTTTTCAAAATTTGACTTTAAAATTTAAATATTAAGTCGAAAGTTTTCAAATCTAACTTAATTTTTTAATCTATTAGTAAAAAAAAATCTCCGAAAAAAAATCTTCACAATTTTTTCAAATTACTGTCATTAGCGTTAACGCGGAAGTGCGTGCCGCACACGCCAGCTAGCTTCCCCCGTTCGCTCAGGCCCTGTTCTTTTCTGATTAAGATTTTGATTTTAACTCAGTTTTCGGTAGCACACGCCTTTTAAATTGCTAAGCGATATATTCTGTGCAAAAATTATCTAAATATAAGTTAATTTAAAATATCGAATATATCTATTTATCAAGTTTATAATAATTGAAGTAAATTAATCATGTGTTAATAACTTTCTCATTTTACGTGCAACCACTTAATCTTCATCTTCACTCAATGTCTCGCTGAAGTAGAACTGTAGAGAACTAGAAATTCGTCATATTTGTCCCAGTTCCAATTGAACTCAGTAGCTCATTTGCTCCCAGGCCACAGGGCCATTTCGGAGTAGCTGGTCTCCCTGAGTATTTTTGAGTCGGTGAACTGCAGAGATGGATGGTCATGGTCTGGCATGCATATAATACTCTCTCTTAATCCCTGAATACGATACGATCTCATCAGAGACAGTGGAGCTCATGTGTTGATTTACCAAAATTAGTTTTCTGTGGTGCTTGCAGCTGAAACAGGTCTCAAGTGTCATGGAAGACATGCATCGGAAACAATTCTCAAATGCCATGGAAGAGCAAAATTTGCTCTTTGCAGCAGTAGTTGTTGTGTTTTCAGAGGCTCAGAGATGCATCGGTGCTTAATTTGTCAGGCCCTGCTTGGTGGAACGGTGGCGGGAATGCTCTAGGAACTTTTTAGCATTTAGCTCAAATTCAATTAGCTCTTACTCCTATTTCAGAACTTGAACTGGTGCTCTTTTTCAGAATTTTTTTTATAGCTTTCATGCTTGAAATAATCAAATCAGTTGATCAACAGCAGTCTGACTAAGTGTTGCAACATCCATTGCACGACTTCTGCCGCTTCATCCTATTCCCAGCAATTTTTTGCAAGACCTGAATCCTGAATTTCAGTATGAGATCTGCACCTACCAAGCTAGCAGGATATATACTCTCCTACAACAATAGAAAGTCAAACAAGTTCTGAAAAACACCGTGTTTATTTTGGCTTTTGTCAAAACTTCACTCCAGTTTACTGATCACGCTAAGGTTATAGAAGGAAATACATTTTGGCAATAGAAACTAGCCTTACATTCGCTGGTATTACATGTCGAACAGATGGATGCGCAATACCAGTAAATACCGTTTGAGTCAAAATTAGTTCCTTCAAGAGATTGGAAAACTGTGCAATCAACACATTTTTTAACCGAAGAAGGCTGAGAACAACATCCGTCCCCAATCATATCCTCCATTTGCAAATATTACTTGAAACACATGACACAGCTCCTGCATTTCCTCGGTAAAAAAAGTTAATAGAGACCTTAATCAGAATTTTTAAAGTTTACTATATAAAACTGACAATGATGGTGAATATTTTCTTCTGAATCTACATGTACAAACAATACACAAAAGTAAATCATAGTTCATCATAAATAGGAGGAGCAGGAGCAGGAGCAGCAGGTGCTGGGACAGGCACATTCTTGACTTTTGCTACAACGTCTTCAGCTGATATTGAGCCTGATCTGATGGCATCGGCCAGCTTCCTTTGCAGTGTCAACAGGCCAATACGTCTCGAGACAACATATAGCACCGCCAAGGAGAAAATGAGAAAACCAATGGTAAGGATGATCCTGGTAAAGAAAGCCAATTAGCAATTGGTACAACCCAGAAAATAGTATTAATACTAAGTATTGCACCGGCAGAAACTTGTTTGGCAGATAAGAAAATTGGAATCATCAAGTAACGTAATTGGTAAATCAAATGCGCATTTGGTTCCACCTTTTTTTAAAAGAGAAGAGCATTTCTATCTATACTCCTTTAAAAAGGAATAGTGGTGGTGGTGAGTGGTGAATCTGCAACCACCACCAACTCCCTAACTTTTTAAGAGATGTATACAGAAAATAATGGTAACAACGAGGTTAATGATAATTTTCGTTGATTAAAATCCTGTTGCAACGCACGGGTAATATGCTAGTATATTTTCTTATAAAAGACTAGTGGTGGTGGTGAGTCTGCCCTCACCACCACCAACATGTGGGCCCATGGGATTGGTTGACCCCACATGAGCAATTTGATTGCTCTCTTCAGTGTACCATCCATTTGAAATTTGAGCAAGACAAGAAGCTTCACTCTTTTACTTTTGCCTTTTAAGATGAAGAGCATTGCTTTTTCACACATGAGGCAGGATTTTTTTTTACCAAGAGAACTCATAATCATGTTTTATGTTAAATAAATCATCGCATCGCACAAGTATTTTACTAGTGTTTCCAAATGAAAGTATTAAGAATGAGTAATGCAATATCTATGCACAGGATCTTATTGGACTGTCTTGTGTACTCCTTCGAACAAAGATAATTAAGAGAATGCACCCTGGCCACACCAAATGCATTTTCTGGGTCAATGCATTTTGCAGTATCAGTCTGATAAGAGAGAACTGGCCAACTGGGCGATCCTAATAAAGTCTTATAAGATATGTATTTTCTGCAGTAGTAGGCTAGATTACAACGGTTAATTGCCATCTAATGAAAGATGATCTGCAACAAGGTGAGGAGTTCATCCAGAGGTGGAAAAAAGGTGAATGGCAGTTGACACATGCATTATGTGAAGATGTGGTTTGTATGATCTTTATTGATCGGAAAACATAATTTTTACCGCATGGCCACATGGCCCACATCATACATCTCCAATCCATACGAAAGATTGGTGGAAGATACTTACCTATCAAGAACATCTTGCCGTTGCATTGTAGATAGCAAACCACGAGTACGCATCAGCAAAGAGCGGTGTCCTTGATATTCACCTTCAGCCTTACGAAGAACACTTGTTGATTCATCTGCATAATTTTAAAGTTCGCTTACAACTTCGCCTTAATAGTTAGAATAAAATTACAACTGCGCCTCTTGGCTCTTGTACACAGATTTAGTTAGGAACACAAGAAACATACCAAATGTTGCCAAGGTATTTGCACTTCTTTCCACTTCCTGTAAACATGTATAGTAGTTAGATTAAAATTTAAGAGCAAAAATTCATTAGCATATAAAATATCAATTGAAAACAGGTGCACTAACCTGGACCATCAACTGGCGAGATCGGCGGAGGCTCTCGGTTATACTTTCTGCAGCCGATGTCATCCCAGCCTTTGTCCTAAATCATTAGGTGAGTTAGTATTTACTATTCTGCAAGCTTCAAAATCAAATGTTTGTTCGATTTTGACAGTACAAGACTCCTGCCCATATAATAGAAGCAGTAAACAAAACGTTTTTTTAGTATAGATTATAAAAAGAAATATTTAATTAAAATAACAAGTGACTGTGTCTTCTCCACATGCTATACTCACAATGAACAACCATGTAAACTGAACATATCATGCAACACGCAGAGCAGCCAGTTTCTCAAATATTCTCAAATATAGAATTAATGGAAACCTTGGGACAACTAACTTACTGTAGATTACGCCTGCGGATGGTAGATTCTTCTCCACCCCCTAGAAGAAGCTCCCTCTAGAGAAAGAGCAACTAGAAGTGAGAGCACATTAACTTACAAAGAAGGATGCATCGCCGAGGCAATTAACAATCAAGCTAATTTACCACTCTTAAGAAAAATTACACACCTCTTCTTGAGCAGCTTTTTTAATGTTTGCATTTGCTTGTAAGTTAGCATTTCTCAGCCTCATGCGCAGCCTGCAAACAGATACCAGCTGATAAAAAAAAAACAAAACAAAATGACTAGGGGGATTACCAGAGGGGAAGTGGCCTAGAGAATATCTTACTTCTGATACTGTTCCTTCCATGACTGCAGGGTTGCTTGGCCAGACTGTACTTCTTCAAAAGTGGGTAGCTGCTCTGCCAGAGGATCAAGTCTGCACTGTAGTGAATTGAGCAATTGCAGTGCATCCTGTGCAGAACCGTTTAACCTAGGAAGTGAACTTGCTTCCTCTGTCCCCTTTCCCATCTTCCCACATGATTCAATTGCAGCAATGCACCCTTCAAGCTGTGCAACAGCTTGATTCCATTCCTCCTTTAGGTTCTCAACAGCTTGAGTCACCTTATCCATCCTAATATCTGAATGGACCATCACAGACATTCACTGACTAAGACAAGATTTGTTACCAAAAATACGAAGAAATGGGCTAGATTATAGTGCAAATAGGAAAAAAAAATCAACAGATAAGCTATTCTAGTTGTGCTTGTACCCTTTCACAAAAGATAGCAAAATAAGTGACTGGTACAGTAGCAAAAAAAAAAAAAAGAAGCATAGCATCAAACTATCAGTCAATACTCTCGATGGTCTTACATTTACTTTGACAAGCTCACCAATCATTTCATTGGGACCATGAACCATATATGAACCATGAAATAACATGTGGTCTGCTTTGCAAAGACTGAGAGACAGATCATTTGTACATCCAATGACAAATCATCAACATCAAGTGTGCCCTAAAAATAAAGCCAAATGATTCATCAAGTCCTACCAATTCTACAATGGCAACAACATTTAACATTAAACTACCAAGTTGTTCACATGCACAAATCACAACCATAGTTGATTCGATCACAGGGCTGGGGCTGGGCGTGCGTGTGGTGGCCACCGGCCGGCACCCTACGCCTGTGGCTTGTGGGTTAGAGGTGGGGCATACCCAGGATTTTGAGGTTGGGTATTCGAAATGGGAAGGGGTGATTTTTTTTTTATAACCCAAAGCCTAATATGTTTAATTTCATGTAGTTCTAAACTACTAGTTGGATAATATATAGTGGAGGATCTAAATTCAGTACTAGTCATTTCATACTTTCTTAAAAACATATGCACTATAATTATACAAAAGAACAATTGTACAAAGCTTCACAAGGTTCAAAAATCAAAGTTCAATTGGTGAAACATATGGTTATAATTTCTATTGTTCCCTAGTGATGCCCTTTCGATCTACATTTACTACAACTGGATTCACTGGCAATCAATCAATCAACCATCCATGGCTTCAAATGGAAAAGATGTTCCCAATAATCCTAAATCACAGCACCACTGAAGCAAACAACAATTACCTTAGGGTTTCTCGGCCTCTCGGGGTAGCTCGACGGCCGACGGCAGCGGCTCGACCCCGCGACGGCCAAGGGCGGTGGCGCGATCCCGCGACCGCGCGACCCCGCGACAGCCGAGGGCGGCGAATTGACAGCGGCGCGGTCAACGGGCGCTGCGCGTGAGTGCGAAGGGGATGTGGGGGTGGGGGGAGGGTGGCGCTTGGGAGGGGGAAGTGGGGGATCGGGGCTTAGAGGGATGGTCTGGGAGGCGGCGGACCGGCGGTGGGCGGCGGACAAGGGCGCGCGGCGAGGCGGTAGCGGCTCACCGGAGGGAGGAGAAGGGGACTCACCGTAGGGAGGAGGGGGCTCGCCGGAGTAGGCTGTTGTCGTCGCCGGAGGGAGGTCGCTCGTCCGCGTCTCGTCTTCTCCGTCGAAGAAAGCTCGCCGGAGGGAGAATGAGGGGGTTCTCTGGGGAAGATGGAGCGAACTCGCCGGTCGGCAGTCGCCGTCGTCTCGCCTCGCCGGAGTAAGATCGTCGGAGTCGTCGTCCCTCGCTCGCGTCAATCGCGTGAATGGATGGAGAGAGAACGAACGCGCCGTAGACCCACCCGAGAGGATCGAAGGCTCGACTAAGCGTCTGGATCTAGCTTCATGGGCCGATATGAGAAATATGGGCTGCTGGACTTGGTTTTCTTGGAGGAGGTTTATCTGGGCCAAAACTACCCTCAATTTTGGCCCAGAACTACCCTCTGTGTGTTTCTGCATACCGCATTTTGGTCATCTTATTTTCTTCTGTCCACAGCTGGTAGTAGTACTTTACCGTACTTTATCGTACTGGTATGGTACTCCCTCCGTAGTCTAAAATAATAGATTTTGACATTTTACATCAATAGTTTGGTCACTTGTCTTATTAAAAAATTTATGCAAATATAAAAAAACGAAGAGTTGTAATTAAAGTAATTTGGATAATAAAGTAAGTCACAAATAAAACAAATAATAATTCTAATTTTTTTAATAAGACGAATGGTCAAACAGTGCAAGAAAAATGTTAAAATCACTTATATTAGGGGGGAGAAGTAGTACTTTTGTCCACAGCTACTAGTATAATAACACATTTTTTTTAGATAATGGAATATAACATCCCAGCCAGTATAATAACACATGAATAGTACTTTATAAGTGGCTTATGTTTTTTAATTTTTCTAAAAAAATTAAATAAGACGGATAATTAAAGTTGAACACGGAAACTCCAGATTACATTTAAATAGTACTTCTGTCCACAGCTACTAGTATAATAACACATGAATAGTACTTTATAAGTGACCCATGTTTTTCAATTTTTTTAAAAAATTAAATAAGACAAATGATTAAAGTTGAATACGGAGACTCAAGATTACATTTAAAATGGTACGGAGGGAATAACTTTGCCGTTAAAAATCTAAAAAGTTTGACCATGTTATCTGCATGTGGAGAGGAGTGACACGGGGTCACGGGCCAGCCGCAACTGTCGGGTTCAAAAGATGCGTTCGCAAGAAAGCAAACAGATTAGAGTGGTGGCCCCGCATGCAGTGGTAACAACTGATCGAAACCACGGCATCCCGTTCAAGTAGCTGGTTTAGCTCCACGGACGCATGCCTATTCTAGTGCTCCACTGCCACTATCTTTAGTAGCGCCGTGTCGGGCTCCCATATATAACGTCCCTCGCCGTCTCCATTTGGATTTCAGCGATCGATCTCGACCGCACCGGCCCCGCATGCCTGCCCACTGCCCAAATAAAGCGTCGTCGATCGACCGCGCGCGATCATGGCGATGGTCGTCGCGGGGAGCCATCGGCCGCCGCCGCCGCCGCAGTCGCTGCGGCTGGTCCCGCCACCGCCGCCGCAGCCTCCTCCTCCTCCTCTGACGTACAGGCACCACTGCAAGGTGTGCAAGAAGGGGTTCATGTGCGGTCGCGCGCTCGGCGGCCACATGAGGGCGCACGGCATCGGCGACGACAACGACACGATGGACGACGACGACGGCCGCGATGATGATCATTCGCTGTCACCGTGCGATGGTGGTGGCGAGCCGTCGGAGGCAGCCGGGAGCCCGACGACGACGACGACGAAACGTATGTACGCGCTGCGGACCAATCCCGGGCGGCCAAGGAACTGCAGGACATGCGAGAACTGCGGGAAGGAGTTCACGTCGTGGAAGACGTTGCTGGATCATGGCAGGTGCGGCCTTGACGAGGAGGACGGTCGCCTCGACGTCTCGCTCCGTTCGCCGCCGCTTCACGACGGTGGCGACGAAAACGACGGCGAGGAGGAGGAGGAGGGGGACGACCTCACACTGGCTGCGGGCGGGTGGTCGAAAGGGAAGCGCTCGCGCCGTGCTAAAGTGATGGCCGTCGGGACCGGCTCCGTGTCCGAGCTACAGCTGCCGGCTCCGTCTACCGAAGAGGAAGACCTCGCCAACTTTCTCGTGATGCTCTCTTCTTCTTCGTCATCATCGTCGCGTGTTGCACAGCCAGCCATCGTCGTCGACGACGCGGACCAAGAGTCCTGCGCATCAGGTAGCAAGGACGAGGAGAGGAACAGGTTCTTGGTGCCGCAGCCAATCTCGATGGCAGCCCCCATGATGGCTCAGATGACAGTGATCGCTCCGCAAGTGGTGCCACAGCACATCTCGACCGTGCCACGTGGCATGTTCGAGTGCAAGGCATGCAAGAAGGTGTTTACATCGCACCAGGCTCTTGGCGGGCACCGTGCCAGCCACAAGAAGGTGAAAGGATGCTTCGCCGCGAAGCTCGAGAGCAGCCGCAACGAGACTAGTCAGACTCAGACTCAGCAGCAACACGTCTCAGCCGCTCCTCATGACAATACCAGGGCCACCACCTCTCATGTCATCACCAGCGATATCAGCATGGATGCAAACACGATCGGTGCCAGTGCTGATGCTGACGGCAAGGCAGCGGCAAGCGGCGTTGGCGCAGGTGAAATTGTCCTCGCCGGAGCTTCGTCGACGGATATGGCCATGATGATGTCGGTCGAGGACTTCGCGCCGACACCGTTGGCGCCATCCGCCGTCTCACCGTTCAAGAAGAAGGGGAAGGTGCACGAGTGCTCCATCTGCCACCGGGTGTTCACGTCGGGGCAAGCGCTCGGCGGCCACAAGCGATGCCACTGGCTGACGTCGGGCGCAACGGACCCGCTCACGAAGCTCCAGCCCGTCGCCCAAGACCACGCCATGATGGCCGCCATGTGCCACCAGCTCACGCTCGGGCGCCCAATATTCGACCCTACCGACCAGCGGATACTAGACCTTAACGTGCCGACGAACCCACTGGCAGAAGCGGTCGCGGCCAGGCAGCAGCAGCAGCAGCAGGTCGCCGCTCTCAACGACGGCGCACTCTGCCTCAACGCGGCGGCGTCGGTGTACCTGCAGTCCTGGACAGGGCACAGCAACGGGAGCCACGTGAACAAGACCACCGCGACGAGCAGCCGCATCAACGACGCGGCCGGCGGCGTGACCACGGAGGACGATGAAGCGGACAGCACGAGCGCCAAGAGAGCCAAGATCGGCGACCTCAAGGACATGAAAGTGGCAGGGGAGTCGTTGCCCTGGCTGCAGGTTGGCATCGGAATTTCATCAGAGAGCAAAGAAAAGAACACTCAAGAGTGACCTGGTCATGACAAGGAGGTCATGCCGACTAATGAACTAAGAAATTAATTAATTAATTAATTAGTGCTAATCTAATCCATATATATATATACATATTGTAGGTGTACGTACTATATCAATGCTTTATGTGATCGGGATATATGTATGTGTATATACATCCAATGTAAGTATTTACAAGTAGGGTCAATTCATGTGTTCCTAAAGGTTTGAGGCAACATCTAGGGACGTATTGCTTGGGGGACTGTAAATTAATAGGCTAGCAAGCTTGATTCTAAAAGGTTTCCTTACTGTACGATTCTTTGAGGAGCCTTGCTTTTTATTTTTATTTTTTTCCTTTTATTTTTTCTATTTTGTAACTAACCGATTATTTAATTTGCTGCTTCCAAAATGTATATATGCAAGTTGATTTTGTCCTTGTGTTCACTGCAATTAGACAAGCTATATGTGTGCCTATATATGTTTTTTTCTTGCATTTCTACACTATATATTACTCTAAATATACGACGTTCTTAACTTTTAAACATAATATTTAGCTATACGTTTTATTTAAATTTATTGTAAACATAAAAAAATCACGCCAGATATAAAGGATCTTTAATAATGCAAATTAGTAAAGATAAAAAAATAATGTTTAAAGTAAACTGAATGATAAAATAAGTTAAAGCAAAATAAATGAAACTTACTTCATAGCTAATTTTACTGCAGATATGCAAATGTATAAGCCATTCTTAACAAATCAAATCACAATAAAATAAATAATACTTAACAAATTTCATGTCAAAAAGATATATTCAAAAATGGAGGTGGTACTATTCTGCGGGAGGTGAGGAACGTCAATTTTTTTATTCATATCGCCACGGTGGAGAAGCTTGCTGATGTTCGTTACCAGTCCAGTTCGATGGTGCATGTAAATAGGTCGGGCAGGCGCCCGATACTTATAATATGTATATAAAGTGTATATATACGTATAGACAACGTATATGTATAATATAAATTTTATGTATATGTATTTTTTATGTATAAAAATATATATTCGTATAAAAACTTTGTATATGTATATGTATACTTGTATTGGTATAATACAAAGTTTATATACATATGTATTATATCAATATAAAGTTTATGTATGTATATATAAATAATTATATGTATAAAAAATATTGGCGTATAAAAATATACACGTATACAAAGTTTATATACGTACGAATTAAAAAAACCGAAAAAGACTGCCACCCCTCTCTCCGTGCAACACATGGCTGCGACGCGCGGGGGAGGAGCATGCCTAATTAGAATTGGAACTAGCTAATAATCTGTCGACAGTTTTTAAGGCTCAAAACTTTCAAATTTTTAACCATAGGATTTGTCATCAACAGTTGAAATGGGTACTGTTAACAGTAAAATTTGGTAATCCCAAAGTTACCATCGGTTTAGAGTCAGTATCGGCTTCAAAGTTCGAGAATCAGCCGATGGGAGTCAAGTCGCCACGATGTCGTGTTCTTGGTGGAGTTGGATCAATCAAAGGAAGCTTATCTAGAAGAGTTCGAGTTCAAGAAAGATGCGACATGACAGTTATCTATTAATTAGGCATAGTTTATTAGTTTCCTTTTATCTTTAGGAAAGTGTGTTTAGTGTCCGATAAGGACTTTATCTTTTCCTTTTTAGTTTCTTTCTTGTCCGACAAGGACTAGTATCTCCCTATGGGTATAAATATGTACACCCGGGGTCATTGTAATCTATCAATCTATCGATCAATAATACTCTCGGCGCATCGCCACCCTCTTCCCTAAGGTTTTTACTTATCTTCCGGCGGAACTTTGGCACCTGACGCAGGGCTGCATCGGCTTTCGATCTCCAGCGAAGGGGTAAGTCCTACGTTCTGTCGGGCCCTGGTGAATCTGTCGGCTACGTTGGTATTGTTCAAGGCTGCATCGATTCGATCTCTTGGATCGCTCTGGTTTGGTTGATATATTTGTCTACCTGATATCTCAATTCTATCTCTAATTGCATTGTGTTTAGAGACGCATCGGTTTAGTTGGGACTGTCTCGGTTAGGTATGATCTCCTGTCTTAGCCGATATATCTCTACAATCATAATGCTGTTCTAAATAGATTTGTTATATCTATCACATTAGATAGATCTATCGGCTCATCGAGTATTAGATTATCATATACAATCTCGTGCTGCATCGGTTAGGTTCGATCTACTAGATTGTTGTTGATAATATAAGTCTTGTTAAGTCGATAGGTTCATGCTAATGTTTTATCGGGGTACTAGCCGATAAGTTATCTGGACGTTGCATCGGCTTGTAGGGATTGCATATACATATAAGTTGGATTTAGCCGATGGCAACAAAGGTTTCACTATTTAATCTAATCTTGTGGATCTTATGACATCGGACCTCCAGCTGATGTGTGCTTTAACCTTCGGATCAATATTTGTTCTACTATTTTATATTGTTAGCCGATTGGTTTCTACTGGATTATATTGCTATATTATATTATCATCAACCGATTGCCTTTATATCATTATCCACATTGGACTTATAGCCGATTGCTTAAACCCTATCGCTATTGGCTGGTATCGGTATCGGCTATTATCGGCTATCGGCTGGAACTACTCCATCGGCTTGTCAGCCGATCGGCTGTTTAGATCTACTATTTGCATATCTTGTCAGTTGCAGGATCAAACTGACTGGCACGCCCGCATCTCATCAATCTTTGTACCTGCACAGGAGCTAAGCAGATCTCCTAGGCCGGTGTGTTCGATTTTTTTCGTCAACACATATTAGCACGCCTGGTGGGACCACAAATTTTATATCCACATGTCTGAAGAAGAAGTCAATGCTAAGATCATAGTCACGGTGGAGAATTTAATGGAGGAACAACAATATTGGCTCGGGGGGCAAGTGCATCAGTTTTAGCATGGTGGAGCACATCAGTATCAGCTCATGAAAGCCGATTGCAAGAAGCAAATGAAGATCGGTTTTGGAGTTATCAAGGCGAGACAGAAGATAATTTTGAAGCATAAGTCCTCATACTCCAAAATTTGGGGGCATGTGTTAACAGTGAAATTTGGTAATCCCAAAGTTACCATCGGTTTAGAGTCAGTATCGGCTTCAAAGTTCGAGAATCAGCCGATGGGAGTCAAGTCGCCACGATGTCGTGTTCTTGGTGGAGTCGGATCAATCAAAGGAAGCTTATCTAGAAGAGTTCGAGTTCAAGAAGGATGCGACATGACAGTTATCTATTAATTAGGCATAGTTTATTAGTTTTCTTTTATCTTTAGGAAAGTGTGTTTAGTGTCCGATAAGGACTTTATCTTTTCCTTTTTAGTTTCTTTCTTGTCCGACAAGGACTAGTATCTCCCTATGGGTATAAATATGTACACCCGGGGTCATTGTAATCTATCAATCTATCGATCAATAATACTCTCGGCGCATCGCCACCCTCTTCCCTGAGGTTTTTACTTATCTTCCGGCGGAACTTGGGCACCTAACGCAGGGCTGCATCGGCTTTCGATCTCCAGCGAAGGGGTAAGTCCTATGTTCTGTCGGGCCCTGGTGAATCTGTCGACTACGTTGGTGTTGTTCAAGGCTGCATCGATTCGATCTCTTGGATCGCTCTGGTTTGGTTGATATATTTGCCTACCTGATATCTCAATTCTATCTCTAATTGCATTGTGTTTAGAGATGCATCGGTTTAGTTGGGACTGTCTCGGTTAGGTCTGATCTCCTGTCTTAGCCGATATATCTCTACAATTATAATGTTCTAAATAGATTTGTTATATCCATCACATTAGACAGATCTATCGGCTCATCGAGTATTAGATTATCATATACAATCTCGTGCTGCATCGGTTAGGTTCGATCTACTAGATTGTTGTTGATAATATAAGTCTTGTTAAGTCGATAGGTTCATGCTAATGTTTTATCGGGGTGCTAGCCGATAAGTTATCTGGACGTTGCATCGGCTTGTAGGGATTGCACATACATATAAGTTAGATTTAGCCGATGGCAACAAAGGTTTCAATGTTTAATCTAATCTTGTGGATCTTATGACATCGGACCTCCAGCTGATGTGTGCTTTAACCTTCGGATCAATATTTGTTCTACTATTTCATATTGTTAGCCGATTGGTTTCTACTGGATTATATTGCTATATTATATTATCATCAGCCGATTGCCTTTATATCATTATCCACATTGGACTTATAGCCGATTGCTTAAACCCTATCGCTATCGGCTGGTATCGGTATCGGCTATTATCAGCTATCGGCTGGAACTACTCCATCGGCTTGTCAGCCGATCGGCTGTTTAGATCTACTATTTGCATATCTTGTCAGTTGCAGGAGCAAACTGACTGGCACGCCCGCATCTCATCAATCTTTGGTCCTGCACAGGAGCTAAGCAGATCTCCTAGGCCGGTGTGTTCGATTTTTTTCGTCAACACAGATTGGCACGCCTAGTGGGACCACGAATTTTATATCCACATGTCTGAAGAAGAAGTCAATGCCAAGATCATGGTCACGGTGGAGAATTTAATGGAGGAACAACAATATTAGCTCGGGGGGCAAGTGCATCAGTTTCAGCATGGTGGAGCACATCAGTATCAGCATGGTTGATTTTTCATTACATTTTAACACTGTTGTTGTCTTACTTAACTTGGGGAATTTCTGCAATTTGCAAGTGTGTTACCTTGCAAACTATACCTTTTTCTTCTATTTGAACTGTTTCATCCAAGTTCATTGACGTGATGATCGATTGTAATTCATAAACAGCGTGGGTCTACTCAGCTGTATCCAACATAATTCGTTCACCAAGAAGCAATCACCCATAGCTACTTTATTATTATTTAAATATTCTTATGTTGGTTACTGAATCCTTTTTTATTAAGGATCCTGCCAAACGTGCCATTTTTTACTTTATTCATGTATCCCGCAACAATGCGCGGGGTACCATCTAGTATACATATTGTAGGTGTACTTGCTTTATGTGATCGGGATATATGTTTGTGTATATGCATCCAATGTAAGTATTTATAGTAGTTTTACAAGTAGGGTCAATTCATGTGTTCCTAAAGGTTTGAGGCAACATCTAGGAACATATTATTGTAAAAAGCCAGATGTAAAGGATCTTTAATAATATAAATTAGTAAAGATAAAAAAATAATGTTTAAAGTAAATTTAATGATAAAATAAGTAAAAAAAAAGGTACTTACATAGTTAATTTCACTGCAGATATGCAAATATATAAGTTATTCTTAAAATACATTTAATAACAAATTAAATCACAATAAAATAAATAATACTTAACAAATTTCACGTAAAAAATATTTAAAGATGGAGGTGGTACTATCCTGCGGGACATGAGGGACGTCAAATTTTCAATTCATATCTCCATGGTGGAGAAGCTCGCTG